AATGTTCTGAAATACAATAGTCTTCTTTCCCACCTTATCTCTTACATGCGAAAAAAGCCTTATGCATGTTATAAATAAGACGATGTCTTTATTTATTTATTGGTATATATAATGAGGGAAATATATAGAGTGAGATTGCTAGAAATAGTGTTGTGGTGGGTTTGGTGAAGAGTGAGCACCACTGAATCAGCACATATCTTCACCTTCTCTAACCCAAATCATGGCTACCATTTTCGCTTTCATTTTCATATTTTTCTCCCTCATCGCCTCCAACTGTAAATCTTCCCCTTCTTTTTTTCTTTCTATTTTATCATTAATTCTCATCACCATTGATCCATTTCTCTTTCAGATGCCTTCGATTCCTTGGATCCTTTTGGTAACATCACCATCACATGGGATTATTTCTCCGACAACGGGGACACAGTCGACGTAAGCATTTCTAATTTTCACTGCTTAAACATTATCATTTTCTAACTTCTCTTCAAAAATCCAGTCTTGATTCTTCTGCTGCTTCATTGTAACATTGCGGGATTTCGATATTCTTAAGGAAACACTGAGATGCGTACGCCTTTGTCTGTTAGTTAGTTAGGGTTATGTCCGGTCTCTTGGTTCACTTCCAATCACTTCGATCATGCCACGTCAGCTAAGCATGTTGTATTATTTATAGCATATATAGTTTCGTATATATAAATCTCTGGAACGGCAACCATATAGGTATAAATCAAATACCATATCTGATTTATGGTGTGTTCGGTTAACGTTGTAGGTGAGGGTATCGATATACAACTTCCAACTATTTCGTCACGTGGAGGAGCCTGGTTGGAGATTGGGTTGGGCATGGAAAGGTGACGAGGTGATTTGGTCAATGCTGGGAGCAGAGGCAAAGGAGCAAGGGAACTGCACAAGATTTAGAGGACAACAGAAACCACATTGTTGCAAGAAAGAACCAGTTATCATTGATCTAATGCCTGGAACCCCCTACAACATGCAGACCGCAAATTGCTGCAAAGCTGGGATCCTTACATCCCTTAAACAAGATCATACAAAACTTGGTGCCACCTTCCAAATGAATTATGTCAAACCATCCGATTCAGGTCCCGGTTTTACCATGCCAGAAAATTTCACCCTTGGAATTCCAGGCTATAGCTGTGGGACACCGTTTCAAGTCCCGCCGACCATGTTTACCAAAGACGGACACAGATGGCAACAAGTCTTGGGTGAGTGCCACAAGGATCACTGTCATTACTAATTACGTTTCTGTACTTTTCTGAGACAATGGCCAAAACAATCCTTATTTTTGTTGGAATTACGTTTGTTAATTACATGTCTGCTGGTTTATTATGTCTTGTTTTTTTTTGCTTGCATGCAGAGACTTGGAATGTGACTTGTATTTACTCCCAGTTTCTAGCATCACCTGCTCCAAAATGCTGCGTCTCTCTGTCTGCATTCTACAACAGTACTATTGTTCCTTGTCCCACATGCAGTTGCAATTGCCAAGGACTACCGGGAGCAACTTGTGTGGAGTAATTAATTCTTCTCATCCTGAGTTTTTTAATGTTTTGAAAGCTGCTTTTTTTCTGTTTCTATACAACGGCCGAGGGTCTTATTCTATGGTTTCCTTGTAACTTGGAAATTTTCAGTTCAGATAAGACTTCAGTGTTGCAACCACCGCAAACAAATCGCGGAGAAGCAGCAGCAGCGGTGATCAGGTGTTCGCATCACATGTGCCCCATTCGTATTCACTGGCATGTGAAACAAAGTTACAAAGAGCATTGGCGGGTGAAGATCACAATCACAAACATGAACTTTGTGAAAAACTATTCCCAATGGAATTTGGTGGTGCAGCATCCTAACTTAGCGAATGTAACACAAGTGTTCAGTTTCAACTACGAACCTCTGACAGTTTATGGAAAATTGAGAGACATAGGGATGTTTTGGGGGCTGGCGTATTACAATGACATGCTGCTGACACATGGAGAGAATGGGAATGTGCAAACAGAGGTTTTACTGCATAAAGATAGAGGAAAGTTCAGCTTCAGAGAAGGGTGGAGTTTTCCTAGAAAAGTTTCGTTCAATGGCGATGAATGTGTGATGCCGTCTCCTGATGCATATCCTAGACTTCCCAACGCAGCTCATGTTGCCATAACAAGCTTTAACACAATTCTCTTTTCACTGTTACTTATACTCTTATAGAAGTTTAGAAGGAAGGATTACTTTCACTATCTCGTAGTTTAGTGTCATAGTCATTCATTTAGTTTTTTTTTACCAAAACGAGTGTCATTTTTTTACAACATCGATTGTCTTTTATCTATATAGGATTAATAGAGTAATGCATATTTTTACATTTGCGGAATATAAGAATAAACTAATTATAAAAGTGTAAATTTTGTACTTATTTAAATAAAAGTAAAAAATATTTTTTTAAATAAATGTTAAAAATTTAAGTATGTCAAATAATATTTTTCGCTAAGATATTTTTAGAAACACAATTTCAGTAAATGATCGAAAGACTATTAAACGTAATACATACGCAGTCTAAATTGACCGCGAGACGACCCATTAAGCCCAATTAGTAGAATTTTATTATCCTTTAAACAGTTATATTAATAATTTGTCTTATATTTTCCTTATTCAAACCATATAAATTATATATATGACTCTCATATAGATAATTTTGTATATTCGATAAAAAGATACTAAAACATCCTTGTGTATGTTTCGTCTTTGTATTCATCTTTTTTTAATCATTAAAATATTTTTAATTTTTTAAGCCATCTAAAATATTATATTAATTTTTCATTAATTCTTAGTTTATCGACTTATTTCTAAGGTTTATATTTATTTTTTTTTATTTGACATCTATCCATTTGTCTTTTAGTGTTTTATTTGATATTTGTGTATGATAATCGGGGAACGAGTATGATGTATATCATTTATCATATTTGATTATATTTTTTTTTGTGTTGATAATATTTGTTATCTTTTATAAAATAATTAGTGTATTTGAAAACAAATAAGAGCGTGTGAATGCGAGTACAAACATAAACATACAAATGAGATGAAATTTTCAATCATTAAATATAAAAGTAAGTATGAAAATGAATTCTTAATTTAAAAGCAATAATAAGTATTCAAACTCTTCTCATGTTCAAGTACGTCACATGTACCATATAACAGTAAATTATATAATAATGAATATTAACAATTTTTTTGTAAAATATGTTATTTATTCTATTATATATGGGTTTTTAATTTAAAAGAAACTATTTATGTAATTAATTATTTAAATTAGTCTTTATTTAATTTATTTTTTTAATCATGTATTAATTACGATCTTAAATTATTTAATTTAATTAACAGTTTTTACTTCTCAGTTTTAGTTTGTATTTGGTCAAACGGTCTATGACCATATAAAAAATAATTAACTATTTCATGTAAAACCTAATACTGGACTCCGAACTATATGAATTTTGTGTAGTTACGACGTTCGTGCACTCGGGTTTCGGTTTAAAATCTCAATAGTCAATTCATTAAATTAGCTACTTAGAAATAACATTCAATTTTATTGGTCTTTGATAAGTGTTTCGACTGGATCCGGGCGGACCCTGTTAAAACATAAACTTGACTGGGCGGACGACTTTTCCTCTAGTTGACGCAGACTGGGCGGACGGACGCTGCTCCCCTGGTGCTGCTCCACACTCCCAGTTGGACAGGCGTCCTCCTACTCCATGTGCTGCTCCACACTCCCAGTTGGGGAGGGGCCGGGTACCTGCTAAAGGCACTCCGACGCTCAAGTCAGTAATACGACATAGCGTTATATAATGCATGCATGTGTTGCGTTCTAAGCAATCTGTCTAGAAATCATACCTGAGACCTTTATTTATACTGATTATAATGGGCTTTTACCTTTTGGGGGCCTCGAAACGGCCCAATAATACCTTAAAATAAAATAAATAGTTAGAAAAGTAAATACTACAATTCAAAATAAAAAAAACTTAAATATTTAAAATATTTTATGATGAATTTTAATTATTAAAAACTATTTATAATGATAATTTTAAACATACAAATATAAATATTTAATTCTTACAACACAGAAGTAAATTATTATTAACTTATATCTATTTCTAAAATGAATTTTAATAAACTTCAAGTGTTCAAAACTTAATTCACATATTACAATTAAATTTAAAATACAACTTATGTATTCAACATATTTTATAACAAGTTTGAATTATAATAAAATTTCTATTAAACTATTTATGATACATATATTTATATAGAATAAATATTTATCTTTTACCTTGAACGATTTAAAATATTATATCTAAAATAAAAACTAAAATACCAGAATGAAGAGAATAGATAGAAATATCCATATCTAATTTCCTAACACGGTTATTTTATTTGGTTTTTTTCATCTGTGATACTTTGATACTGATAGACCATCAATTTTATTTGCTTTCTGCGACTCCATTAATGCATTTCTTGCAGCATTTAAACCTCGTAATGGCAATAGGTTGTACAGTGGCGAGTTCAAGTACCAATACTTTTCTTGATGATAATATTGAAATTTAATTACCAATTTTTGTATTCATGAAATGAAATGCACATAGACTCTATAAAAATTATGTTGTTTAATAATTTCCTTGGATTTATAGTATCTTTTCGTTAACTTCTATCTTCTTAATATAAAAAAGGGTTAAATCCAAATATTTTTAAATTGAAGGATTAAAATGAATTAAAATTTCAAACAAAAATTATTTATAATTTTAATTAAAAGTCAAAAAACAAAAAATATATTTAATCATAATAATAATAATAATATACTTTTTTAAATTGAAATTAAAGACGTCGAAAAGCTGCAAAGAGGGAAAATGAACCGCCAAAAAGTCACATCACTGTTTTAATATAATAAAAAAAACGCACTTATTTTTTTTACCGTTGCTAATATAATAAATGCACAACAGATGATACATTAAAACAAAGTTCGATGGGAAGAGAAGTTACGTTAGGTTGAGGGATTCACACAAAGAAGTCACTGGAATATGTTTTTGAATCTGTGAATCAGAAAGTAAATGCGACTGCCATTATCAGGAGACCGCAAAGCTTATCACCGGAACAGGTAAACCCTAAACCTAAATGTCTTCGATTGATCTTACAAAGTTTGGATCTTTAACTGAAAATGATGATTAAATGTTCTTGTCATTCAGAGATGTTTTTGAATCTGAGAATCAGAAAGTAAATGTGATTGGCATTATTAAGAAACCGTACCACCGGAACAGGTAAATCCTAAACCCTACGTTTCATCATTTCACTTTAGAAGGTTGGAATATTTTTAACTGAAAATGATGATTAAAAGTCCGTGGTTACTGCTGCCATTTACTTTCGTGAAAATGTGTTCTGAGCCAATATCCATTTTGTGTGTGTTCATTTTCATTTCATTTTAAAATAATGTTGAAATAGGTAAATGAGGGAAAGATATTAGTAATGGATAGCTTATCAAACTGAACTTAAAAGGGTAACTAATGACAATTTTTATTCCACTAAAAAGGTGTAACCAAGGGGAATAGGACAAAACTGTTCCATTATCTGTGTCAAAAATGCAACTTTAGATTGGAGTAATATTTATTTCTCTTAACTATGTTTCACAATATTGTATATTTATCGTATAAATTATATTATTTAAATTTGTTAGTGGCCTAATATAAATTTTATTTGTTTTCTGAATTGCAACTTAAGCATCTTCTTCCCTTACAATCGGAGCCTTTGCCAACTGGCGGATCCATCCTGAGAATAACATTGGAGACAGGTGTTGAGAAGAGTCACTTCCACCTTTCATTCTTGACCCTCTATAAGTCTTTGATTTTTGAGTGTTGACTTAGATTTATGATTTTCTTGTGGGATGACACTGAGTTTTGTTGTTACAGCAGTCAATCATCATGATCGTGTGACACCTATTACTTTAACCGGTGTTCTGACTTGTTCAGTGGTACTGTAAATCACTTGATGCTATTTGCCCTTGAGAATTACTTTTGCTACTTATTCTTATATTTATTTATCTGTTTATTTGTTGTTGTTCTGCTTAGCAGATTTTTGTGATATTATATTTCAGGAGGCCCTTTTTGATGGTTTTTCCTGGCGTTGAGAAAGAAGTTGAATGGAGTATCTGAATAAAGAGGATCAATAGTCGTAGGACAAGGAATACTGCCATTGAATAATCTTACTCTGTTCTTCTTGGTTTCAAGAGCTACCAACATCTCTCGGTAGCATTGATGAAATTTGTTTTCAGTTAATTGAGGAGAAACAAGAGTGACAACATCAATCAAGGTGACAAATTGTTTGCCATACTTGAACTAACATTCATTGACACGCAAAACTACAAAAGGATGCAATTGTCTTTTTTTTACCTGCATAATTGCAAATGCTAGAGGGAACGTTCCATTATTTTCTTTAATTATGCAAAAATGAACATCACACAACAATTATGGCCCTTTTAAGTTGCAGCCATCTCATTTCACCAATTTATAAATTTCAACAACAGAGCATAAAACCCACCGGGAAAGGTTAATCTTCTAGAAACAAAAAAGATATAAGAGGAGAGAAGAGTTTTAAGCTGGATAGAAAAGATGTTATTCAATATTTTGTATATGTAAATCATTTTTTTGTTTTTTTAAGTTCACTAGTTCATTCTTAGGAGATTGTGTTTTTATGGGTCTCTTATTTTTGATGAATATTCGTGTTCAGCAGGGCTGTCAGTTTTTTTTTGCTCAAAATAGTGGAAGTATTGCGGTTGTTGCTGCTGTTGGGATGTAATTCACTTTCTCGGTAATTTTTAATTATATTATCTTTTGTGTCGAGATATGTTTGTCTTTGTTTTCTCGTACTGTACTTGCTTTTATGAACATGTTTCTAATGATAATAAGTCTTTAATATAGACAGCTAAGAGATACAATTATCCGGATAAGAGACATCTGGATGTCTGTCCCCAAATTAACAGTTACTACTTTCTTTGTGAGCTCTATTGCTCAGCTGATAATTGTTGCCTTGCCATGAGGTTAGGGGAAGTAGAAAAGTAATTGAAGAAAATGCAAATTTATCATGGAGAGATTATTAGCATTCCTTTATAAAACGTATGAAAGTTATTTTATAATATAGTAATACATTAAAAAGCTATTAATAGAAATTATTTTCATGAAGATCCCGTGTCTCCTGAATTTGTAGAAGAATCTATATAAAATAGTCATAATTGAAATACCTCTTGGCTGTGGATTGAAACAAAGACTTTCAGCTGCGATCACCTAAATAATGCATGATTATGTTCATGTAAAACATCCAACAGCCATAATTGTAAAGATATACCAAAAGGCACCATTTGTGTATTGCCTGGAGTTTGATGTTAATCAGTACTTGTCTTGTTTCTCCATATATTAACTTCGGTTTTGAGAGATTATGTGTACTTTTCTCTTGAATTCTAATTTGATTTTCATGCTGCATTTATGGTATATGGAGTAGTACCTAGGTTTTAACCTAGGTGTTTAGGGTAGACTTTTGATCTTCCATGCGTGTTAGTATGAAAACTTTATTATTAATAGATGAAAGTGAGAGGGATCAACTAAGCTCTTAAGAAATATTCTAGAGCTTCAACCTCAACGTAAAGTTTTAGTATAAAACAGTAAATGAGGAACAAATTTATACAAGAAATATTAAGATTTTAGTACTAAACAGTCTAATGCATTTAAGTCATATTTTTCAAAAAGTTAAGCTGTATCTTTGATATTACTCTATCTATAAGTTTTCTTTGTTTGGAATTATTAGGTACTTCTCCTGTTTAGAGAATACTAAGGAGAAATATTTGAAAACTCATATACTTATAAAGATTTGTGGCATTTTCATTGAAATTATGGATGTTCAAACTTAAAATATTATCGAATAAATATTTGTTAAATAGTAAAAATATCTGTGTTTTATAGTATATAGAAACATACGAACATGATAAATATTTAAGAAATATTTATTCGATAAAGAATGATATTTTAAGTACGTGCATGCACAACTTCAATGAAAATGTCTCAAATAATTGTAAGTGTATGAACTTTGAAATTTATTTTGTCAGTATTCTTAAAGTAAGTGGAATATTTAATAATTTTGAAGAAAATAAACTATTAGAGACAACCCATCCAACTTGACTTTTTTAGCATTATGACATAAATGAATCAAATTGTGAAGATATTACTTTCAAAATATCAATAGTGTTTCGTAACTAGTCTTTGATATTTCTGTGGATAAATTTTTCCCTGATTTATAGTCGTATGGTAAAACATTGTGTAAAGGGTAGTATATTCTTGTACTGATTTTATTCAAGCCAATTAAAATCTTGTGCTTTTTTCTTTTTTACTTCTCGTTAAGTGTCTGTAGTCTCTCGGATAGATTTTGGAATTGTATATTACTTGTGTAATGCTAATTAATACTTATGTCTCCATATTTTCTAGCAATTTAGATGATCTATTAATATATTAGAATTTAGAGTCAATTATGAAATGTGTAATTTCTTAAAAAGTTGTAATTATTAAAAAAATTGAAGTGTTTTTTTTTTAGGTATGACATTGTCATAAAGTAAGTGGTTTAAGCATCTTATTTGTAGGACCATGCTTATCAATCAGGCGAATTAACTTGTAAACTTAGACAAGTTTATGTTTGTACACATAGCTTTCGAGTCAACTCAGAAGCAAACCTGATTTTTATGTAAAGTTGGTAGAGTCGTGTGAAGTCAGTCAAACACGCCATTTTGTAACCGAGTTGACGAGTTCAAATAGAAGATTTTTTTACTATGTTTCACCGTGTTGTATAAATTATAATATTTTAACTTGTGAGTTGCCTAATATAAATTTTATTTGTTTTCTGAATTACAACTGGAGCCTTTGTCAACTGTCGGATAATCCATCCTGAGAATAACTTTTGAGCAGGTGTTGAGAAGAGTCACTTAGACCTTCTAAGCATTGGGAAATGGAAGTTTACGGATATTGTTCTTAAATTGCATGCCTGTGCCATGGCCTGTTTTAGCCTTGATTTTTTTCTCTCTTTTTACCTCACCTATACCTCGGACACACTAGAAACACTATGGATCTTGAATGCATTTCTAATTTAATTGGTGTGATTAAAAGTTTTCCAAGTTTATGATAATGTGAATTTGGATGATGTGCCGATAGTTAAACAACTTCACTGAAACACTTGAGAGAAAGAGATGTAAACACTGTCTTGGTGAGATCAATTCATGTTTAGATGTTTATTTGGATTGTTTGCTATTTTATTTTATTGATTTGAGTTGTTTTTGAAACTTAGATTAGATTATTTTTGAACTTGGAATGTAGATTTTTTTTCAATGCAGAATTGATAGCAGATTTTTGAGTCCAGTTTTTGTTAGTTGGTCTGTTTTCTTTGTTCTTTTTGTTTTAGGTTTACCCAACAGTACAAATGCTTAAGTGTAGGGGTGTTATGACTCTCTAATTGTTCATATTTTAATAAGGTAATTGTATCTTCTTGGGTTGTGGCAAATGGAGTTTTGACTGGTGATTTAATTGGTACGATACGCCAAGAATTTTAAAGTTTGTATTGGATAAAATGTTTTCTTTTTCTATAAAAACATCACTTGGGAGCATTAAGTAAGTGATGTAAAATCGGATGGAGCATAATCTATTGGTAGTGGAATAGGTTATCAAATTGAACTTTAAGTTAACTAATGACAATTTTTATTCCACTAAAAAGAAAGGTGAAACCAAGGGGAATAGGACAAAACTGTTCCAATGTCTCTGGCAATTGCTACTTTAGATTGAGTAATATTTATTTCTCTTAACTATGTTTCACAATAATGTATATTTATCGTATAAATTATATTATTTTAACTTGTGAGTGGCCTAATATAAATTTTATTTGTTTTGTGAATTGCAACTTAATCTTGCACTTTCTTTACAATTGGAGCCTTTGCCTTTTGTCGACTGTCGGATCCATCATGAGAACAACTTCGGAGACAGGTGTTGAGAAGAGGAGATCTACCTTCTAATTTTTGCATGTTCACTTAGATTTGTGATTTTCTTATGGGATGAGACGAAACTTTGTTGTTACAGCCGTCAATCATCATGATCGTGACACCTGTTACTTTAATCGGTGTTTTCACTCGTTCAGAGGTGTACCCTAAATTACTCATTCTTATATTTATTTGTCTGTTTATTTGTTGTAGTTCTTGGAGTATCTGAATAAAAAGGAACTTTTGATGAGATTAGTTTTCAGTCAATTGAGAAGAAACGAGTGACACATTCAATCAAGGTGACAAATTGTTTTGCTATACTTTGAACTTCCATTAATTGACTCTCAAGAACTCTAGAAGGATGCAATTGTCTTTGTTTTTTGCAAATGCCAGAGGGAACGTCCCATTATTTTCTGTAAGTATGCAAAATTTAAGTTACAGTTATCTCATTACACCAACTTAGAAATTCCTTCACGCTATCTACAATCAAAAGTTACGATAACATAAATTGTTTTTATTTTAACAAACATAGCTAGATTTCAAGTTGACATTATAAATGCTTTATGATTTTTTATTGTTTAGTGGCATTGTGCTGATAAATATACCACGAATGCCATATTTCACGTGACATTATCTCACTTGTTCTTGTTAATTTTTTCAAAAATGAAAAAGGTTGGAATACGTGTGATGTTGCCTAGTGATTGATAACTGAGTCTGTCAATTGTATTGGAGAATATCCCGACATACCTTGGAGTATTCAGGATGCCATTTCAATGTAAATCATGAGAAAAGAAAAAGAATGATAAAAATATTCACGTATATTTGTAATGGGCAGTGACCATTCTACAATACCTTTTTTAGAAGTAACCATTCCTTATATGATTAATTTAGAATTTAAAATCTTCAAAATTCCGAAGTTGACGAACTGTTCTCACTAATTAAAAAAAGTATATTTAGTAACGCTTCCTAAAATTCTGATATTAAATATATGTATCTTAAATACCTTATGATGACAATGTAAATAAAATTTCAATGGGACAATTATTATATATATATATATGTATATGTATGTATGTATGCATAATAACAAAATGCAAAATACAAGACCAACAAATGAAGGCGTCGTAATAATAAAAAAGTGCGCTCATTAACCCTGCGAATTAAAAAAATAACCATTTATACCAATTTTAAGTTTGACTATATAGCCTTAATTAGATACAGGCTACTATTTGTTTTAACAATTATTTTTTAATTTTAAGGTAATATTATTTTTTATCATTTATGTATTTTTTGTTAAACGTTTAATTGTGCATAAATATAATTGTTTTATTAAATATAATAAATGCCCTATTCAAAACTTTCAACTTTGGTGTTTGCGTCACACATCTGTAGTCAACATGATATAGTTACAGGAGTTAAGGCAACACATGAGAACACAACTTAAGTTAATGAAATTAGTTGTTACATTAAATATCAATTAATGATCATATTAATGACTAATCCATTGTAACTTTTTTATTCGAAAAAAACAGGAACTTTTTTCTTTGTAATATTGTCTTTTATTATTAATTGAAATGGATTATAAACCAATAATTTTAAGGAGTCTCGCTTCTAAAATTCTTAAATTATGCGTAAGTTCATTTTAACAAGTTCTCATTCTAGGATTATCTCTTATATGTTGATCAACATTTATTGAAAATTAATAATTCTAACGAGTCTCCCTTCTAAATATAAAAGAATTATTAAATGAGAACTAGAACCTTTTCAAAAATTAATTAATAAAAATAAATTTAGAAAGAGAGAATCAAAGATAGTGTATCTGCACCAATATATTTCAATTTCAGTTACATTGCTTCAGTGTTTCAAAAACTAAAATGGCGATAATTTACTAAAAAAGTGGATTTATTTAAATTTAATAAAAGTCAATTACTTTTATTTAATTTTAGTGTTTTCATTTAAAAACAGGTATTCATAAAATATCTCTTACCTCTTATTTCAAGAGGTATATACGGTATTTTACCCTTTATAATGCTAATTTTGATAATTATTTTTAATTAATTGAAAAAAAAATTATTATCCATAATTCCAGTGTGTCTGAATTTGGGTTTTACTGTCTTTCAGCTTTCATTTTTCTTCGCTTTACATCTTTTAAAAAAATTTCAATCTTTCACCTACGTCTTATTATATCCTAAAAAAAAATCAACATTGAAGGCTAAAATTACACAAAGTTACTTTTTCTTTTTCAAATAATTACAGTGTTACTTACCTTTACCTATTTACTTTCAATTAAATATTCTAGCTATTTCTCTGTCTTTCTCTTTTAGAATTAAATTTCGTATATTATTTAGAATAATCTATCTCAATAATCTCCACCTGCCCTTTTCTTATTTATTTTTGTAAAATAATTTAAAATATAAATATAAATAGTTAAAAAAATAAATACTACAATTCAAAATTAAAAATAACTTAAATATTCAAATAATTTGTGATGAATTTTAATTATCAAAAACTATTTATAATGATGGTTTTAAATATAAAAAATAAATATCCATCTCTTAAAATTCAGTAGTCAAAAGAATTGGTATTATTATGAAGCAATATCCATCTCTTTCAAGAGTTCAAAACTTAATATACAAGTTTTTAAATTTAATACAACTTATGTATTCAAAATGTTTTATAATACGTTAGAATTATAATATAAATTATATATTAAAATTATTTCTTATAATTTTATCTATATAAAAATAAATATTTATCTTTTAGACCACACAAATAAAATTATCATATCAAATATAAATGAAATTAGATATTAAACTTGATTTATATTTATTCTTCAGAATTTATAAATAATAGGGTAAATTAGATATATTTATTTTTTAGTATAATAAGAAGAAAAAATTACAACTTTAGTACAAAAATTTAATTTTATTTAAACTCTGGTAATTTAACACATACATGTTGTGTTTTACCTTTGGTAATCGTAATGTGTTTATTAAAGATAAAATTAACATCGATATGCAATTAATTTTGATGAAAAATTTTAATATGTGTTTTGTAAATTTAATATATATATATATATATATATATATATATATATATATATATATATATTATTGAAAGGAAACTCGCACTATTATCTATAGTGCCTTGTTCATGCTGAGAAGCCATGTATTGTTTCTTTTACAAATTTTTAATGTACAGAAATTGTTTTTCTTTTATTATGTTTCAATTTTATTTTCTTAAAGAGTTCTTTCCATTTTAAATTTCAACGACCTAAATATAAAAAAACAACAAATCTTTCACTATTTAAAATACCGTGTTATGAAAAAAAAATTAATAACTATATAATTATATATTAAGGCTTTTTATTAGTTTGTTTAAGGTATGACGAAACTCTAAACTTAAAAACTTGTCTCTTGTCAATCCTGATAAAGAACTAGTTGATAAGAGATGCTGAAGTTCATTAAAAGAGCCAAAGATCTTAATTAAACCAGTGAAGAAAAAAATTAAATAACCATTAATGCTTCCACTTTAATCCAGAAAGTAAGATGATGGGATGAATTAGCTTTTGAAGAGTTTGTTTAACAAAACAACATCTTAGGATGCAACGAAATATGACATAATCATGCAGTAACATGTAATTACGTGTTACATCCCACCTTCAGTTCTACTCTATATAACATCTCTCCCTCAACACAAATCACCATCAACATCACCATGTCAAGCATCAATACCAGCGGTTTCACAAACCAAGTAGAAGAAAGCGACGAGGAAGAGGTTGAGTACAAGGAGTGCCGTCGCAACCATGCAGTGGCCATTGGAGGAGATTGCTATGACGGGTGCAATGAGTATATGAAACCAAACGCCGAGCGAAACTCTCAGGACAGTTTCCTCTGTGCATGTTGCGGTTGTCACCGCAACTTTCACCGCAAGCACAATCCCGTGCAGGAAAGTGAAACAGAGAATGATTATCTTCTTGATGTAGTTCCTTTTTCAGGGACGTTTCACCCAGCAAGGGCTACCGACAACAACAACAACCCAGAGCCACTGCAGCAAGTAAGGCCACTGAGGAGGAAGAGGACCATCTTCTCGGTGGAGCAGAAGAACCAAATGAGAAGGTTTGCTGATATTTTGGGCTGGAAACCTCACAAGGGTAACAGAGAGGAGATTCAACGTTTCTGCACTGACATGGGCATAAGCCGCAAGATCTTCGTGGTCTGGCTCAACAACAATCGTCACCGTGCAGCTCAAAACTCCTCCCAGACAAGTCTTCCATCAAGCACTTGATGGTCGCTGGATCGGTCTTGGCACTTAGCATTAAATAAGGATTTCCCATGCGTTGTTCAAAGCTTGGGATTTTGTGTAGTTTGGATTGGTCTGTCTTGTGTTTTTCTTCTGCAACTTTGTTTGTGTTTTAGCTTTCCTTTTGTTTTCTTTGCTTATGAAGTGCCTTGACGAATTCTGATATCAAATGCATTTTTTCATTTTCCTTCTCTTTTCAAACTACTTATTAAAAAAATTCTCTTTCACTTTATAAAGATGTCACGAAGAGTTAAATTTTGTAATTATAAAAAAAGAGATTAAAAATAAAATAATATATATAAAAATTTGTTGAGTGAGGAAAACCTATAATAGTTTTAAAGAAATTTTCTATTCAAAATCACCATCTAAACACCCTATTCAACTACAAAATATTATCTACAAGTCCATTGCCTCTTAACGATATAATCTCTCACAATTTTTCACTTTTTTGCCAAGCAATTTTTACCCACTTCATATTTCTAAAAAATTTTCAAATATTATATATCAAGTCATAAGAAATTATGTAGCTAGTTTTTAATTGAGGAGATTGAGAGAAATTATATCATCATGTATTTTGATACATGATAAAATTAGTTTAATTTAATAACGGTAAAATTATCCAAGTGAAAATATATTAAAATTGGTTAAAATTTGTATTCTTTTATGCAATAATATAAATAGTGATTTAATTAAATTATGTGAATAGTTCATTTTCTTTATATAATAGTATAAATAATAACAATAAAATTTAATTATAATTATAATTATTGTGTACCCTAAAATTATTGAATTAGGTAATAATTAAAATAAATCTTAATCATTTACGTTTACTTATACTATCAACATAAAATTAAGCTTTTATAATAATGTCAACAATTAAATTAATATTAGGCTGGAAAAAAATAAATTGATTTATAGACTACAAGCAATTCAATTTGTGTGCTTTAAAATATTATTAAATAATTTGAATTAATATTTTTAAATTTATATATTTATTTTTTGACATGGACAATATA